CAGCTTTTCGAACGTATGCGGGCCAAGCTACCGGCTCGTTCTCTTAACGAGATTGAGGGGCGCTATCATTTTCTAATGGACTTTTTGTGCAAGTTGCAGGGCAAATAATTTACTTGAAATTTTATTTATTATTATTAATAACTGTTTCGTACATAAAGGAATTCTCAAAATAATGTACATAAATTCTATGAATTTAACTAAATATTGAACGTAATAACTTTTCAGTTATCAATTTAATATTTTTCCAATGTGTTTAGTTCTAGAGGAATTGCACTTGGGGGGATTATCGCACTCCAATCAATAATGTAACATTTTTTTTTGTTAGTTGTGAAATTGTTTTCAAAAGAAATTGTCAATATTTTGTTATTTCTTTACTGTAGTAAAGCGTTTTCAAAATTTACAGCGTCTTAAGATTTTGGTCTAACAGAAACTTGTTGTGAAGCATTACTAAAAAATAGACGTCATGACTAATCTCGGCATTAATGGTTTCGGTCGCATCGGCCGTTTAGTGCTTCGCGAAGCAATACGCCGCAAGGCCAAAGTCTTGGCTATCAACGAACCCTTCATCGACGTCAAATACATGGCATACATGTTGAAGTATGATTCAACACATGGAAGTTTTAAGGGCAAAATTTCCATGGACGGTAAAAACCTGAAGATTAATGATCACTCCATTCAAGTTATGGCGGAAAAGGATCCGTCCAAAATCAAGTGGGGCGATGCGGGTGTCAAATATGTGCTTGAATGCACTGGAAAATTCAATTCGGCCGAGAAGGCGAGTGCACATCTAAAAGGCGGAGCTAAAAAGGTAATTGTCTCAGCACCCGTTTCCGATGCGCCCATGTTTGTTGTGGGTGTCAACTTGGACTCTTACAAACCCGAAATGAAAGTAATATCGAATGCGTCCTGCACAACAAATTGCCTAGCGCCATTGGCCAAAGTAATACATGACAATTTTGAGATATGTAATGGACTAATGACCACTGTGCATGCGGTAACTTCGTCACAGAAATGTGTTGACGCACCGTCGCCGAAGAAGTGGCGTAGCGGTCGAGGTGCACTACAAAACATTATACCCGCATCAACAGGCGCTGCTAAGGCTGTGGGAAAAGTGATACCCGCATTGAATGGGAAATTGACGGGTATGGCATTTCGTGTGCCCATTGCCGACGTATCCGTGGTCGATCTGACGGTTAGTTTGGGCAATCCAACATCACTCGACTGCATTAAAGAGAAAATTAAAGAAGCTGCCAAAGGTTCGATGAAGGGCATACTCGGTTATACAGAAGATGAAATTGTGTCCTCCGACATTATTAACGACGCGCATTCCTCAATTTTTGACGCGAAGGCTAGCATAGCATTGACAGAGACATTTTACAAGTTGATTTCTTGGTATGACAACGAGTATGGCTATTCGTCGCGAATGATTGATTTGGTTAAACATGTGCAGAAGGCCGACAAGAATGGTGGAGATGGTAAAGGAGGTAAAGATAAGAAATGCTAACTGAATAAAATAGACGGCGAAGAAAAAATAAATGAGTAAAAGCAAAAATTGTTTCGAAGGAAACGAGAACGTTAATAAGGCTTTTAAAATTTGTTTGAATTAAATATTTGAGATTTATCAACGGAAGTATGTTTCTTTTATTTAAAGTCTGATGGGTGGACGGACGTAAAATCCGCATTTCGCAAATTCGAAACTAGCTCTACATACTTATCGTAAGCCCATCCGGCAAGTCTTCGTTAAGTTGTTAAATCTGCTTTAAATATCTGACTGTTTCTGAAAACCCGTCGGGACGTGCATCAATTGCACAAATATTTAATTACGCTTTTTTGTTAAAAAAGTATTTGGTTTATTTACCACGGTACGATAAAACAATGCACTTTATACATACACCAGTGGGCTACTCCAGTTTATTCATCTCAGTACGGCCTTACTTTCGATTGTGTCGCATGCGTTAATATCCAAGTATTCTTTTCACGCTTCTTCATAGCCATTTGTTTATGTCGCGGGTGAGTGGGACAGATTACATAGGCACGCTGTTGCCGCACCACAAAGTAGCAATCTTTGCACCGACGTCGCAAGCGACCTTTAACCTTAAAACCAGCCACTTGTGTTAAGAGTGAAGTAAAAGGTGTTAGCAAACGCTGTTGGCCCACTTCGGCGGACACTGCAGCTACATTTGTGGGCACAATAGCATTGCTAGTGGCAGCCAAACGATCTGCTCCTAACGTGCGACAGTTGGCCATTATGTGATAACTTCGATCGTTTGCGATGGTTGCTGGCGCTTTCCCAGAGAAAGCGGCGTTTAGCATCCCCAGTCCACTTTTGTATACATGGCTTCCGAATTTTGTAAGAAATGACATCTGTGTAAAAGGGGTATTTTGAGAATTTTTATTAATATTTCAAACTCAATTTATTACCTTCGAGTTGTCTAGCCCCTAGAATTTATGGATAAGCAGCTGGAATTTATTGGTTCATCAGCTGTTTTCTTTACCAGTTCTTACAGTTCATAGCGACATCTTGCGGTATGTTGTTTGTGTAATGATAATAAAATGGAAGAGCACGGAACCGGAGCACATTTAGCTTTTTTGTATTTTCCTTTTCCGTTATTGTAATTTGACAGTTGGCGTTTGCCGCCAATGCACAGTTTTCTTTCGTCTTTTCGGTCGCGTGCGTCCGCGATGTAGTGAATTTAATGAATTTTGTGAAATATATAAAAATAAAATAGTGTAAAACGGGTTTTAATCGGTCGATAGAATAAATAAAGTATCTGTGAAGTGAAATAGTTGTAAGTGTGTGATTGCAGAGTTTTATTTGCATTACAAAGAGGATGCATGCGCCGACGCCATGTTTGCTTAAAATAAAAGGTGTTTGCGATGCTGCTGGAAACTGTGATGTGAACATAGATATGTATGGGGACGTATTATATGCATGTATATATTTATAGACATATATACATATATTTTCTAGGATAAAAAAATATGTTTTTACGTAAAAACATTTAAATTCAGAAATTTTTCATGATCAGTGGGTGCCGCTAGCTTCATGCACATAGTCCTTATTACATACATACATATGCATCAGGGTAGCCAACTCATTTTTTGAGAACTCGCCGATTTCGATAATGAAATTCCCCGATTTTGCCCGAAATTTCGTAAAAAACAAATCGCGTGCATTTTGATATATTATTGCTGGTCTTTCTGTTTACTTTATTTTTAAATGTAATTCATCTATGTATTCGTAAATTAAACCAAACTTTTATAAAGTCAGTTCATAAATAATGAATTGAAAATGTATGTATATATAATATTTACATACGTACAATGGTCGAAAAAATAGTCGCACCAAATTTTTACAAGTTTTCACAATTATTTTCTATTTTTGTTATTAACTTTTAAGTTACCTTTTTTTTATAAAAATATAGATTACTCTTTAACAAAACTCATATTAATCAAAGTTTCAAACATTGTGCAAAAGTAAAAAAAAAAATCGGCAAACTGTCGTAAATATGTCTAGCCTATTAACTAAATTTTCCAGAAATATTTTCAGTATGCAGTTTTGTAGCCCACTAAATTCTAGTACAATAAAGTGCAAGTTTCAAGAAGCTAAATATTTTTCTTTTAGAATATTTTTGCAGAAGGTTTTCTTGCATATAAATGTTTATTTTTTATATGAAAACAAATGCGACAAAGAAAATTCTAAAAAATCAACGATAACTTGCATAATTTGCAGGGTTGCATAATCAGTACTTTTAGATGCAGTTTTATTTCTTATGCAACTTTTTAACTCATGAAATTAGTGAAGCAGAAAAAAAAAAAAAATTAGTCGACACCTAATTCCTCACAGTAAAACAGTTCACCCCTACCTGTTCCCCACGTAAACTGAAATTCCCCACAAAAAACGGTACATTCCCCGATTCCCCACGCAAACTGAAATTCTCCGAAAATTCCCCACGAGTTGGCTTCCCTAATATGCATGCATGTGCGAAGCAGTGCTCGGACTCCCTCCGATCGGAGTAGATTTACTCCGAGTTTTGAAAGCTCTTTAAAATCTACGCTGTTTTATTGAAGCTTTTCCTAGTTAAAGGGAATACCCGTATTGAAATTTTTGATTAACGCGAAATCGAAAATGATAAATGCGAATCTAGTGCAGAAATTTTGTTTTACACCAATTTTTAGAGTACCAAATTTTCCCCTGCATCGAGCTTAAGTACTCCGAGCTCTGGTGCAAACCGCTATTTTTGCGAATTGGGCAATTAACTGGCTACAGCGCCATCTGTAGGAAAATAAATATAATTGATTCATGTTGTATAGTCTCTTTTATTCCTTTTCCTTTTTCCGACACAGTTTGAAAAGACAGTAAATTTTTTTCTTTACGGCCGCACTTGCATACATATGTGTGTATGTACATAAGTACTGAGCAATTTATTTTATACAACTAGGAAAATTAATACAAAATGTGTGATTAAACCAGTTTTATTCCATACGCCAAAAAAAAAAACAAATGTATGCAGCTTATGACATTCAGTGTTTTTTAAATTATAAAATTTGAGCTAGTGAAATTAATGTTGGTTCAGTAAATAATGCCATAGCAAATATTTGTGTTAAAAGTGTGCTTTCTGTAGCGCTGTTACATGAGAATAATCCGCTCTTGCTGGTGCTGCGCAATCTGTTGCTCTCAACCTATAGTAACTCACATTCAGCTGTATGGCGGAAAATGGTAAGGTAAGTGCATTTAATACTTAACCAATTATTTTTACTATCTCAACGTGTCAGCCCGCAAAGCACATTATTGCGATTTTTTAGCATTGTTATTGTCCGAGTTTTTAGGTTACTAGCCGTGCTCCCATCTTCAAATTTCAATTTCACTATGTGATTTTAAAAATTTATTGTGAAAGTGAATTCGCGTGCTTCACAAATGGAGCAATTCACAAGTAGCTGGTGTTGAAATTTCCCTTTCGCTTTGGGTGATGTATGACCTTATTAAAGAAGCAACAGCAAATTTTTTAAAAGTACTTACATTTCAAACAATGACTAATTAAAAAATAGTAAAGTACTTAATTTGATATAGTAAATATTACCTTGATTGCTTACAAATCAATAAAACCACTTAACAATTTTTTTTTATAGTTAATTTTATTATTAGCGGAATAAATTTTCTTTATTTTAACTAAGTT